GGGCAAGTGTGAGAGGGGCAGGTGTGGGGGGCAGATGTGGGGGGCAGGTGTGCAGGAGGACTAGGGGAGGCCAGACCACAGGGCGTGTGTCTATTGAAGCGCACGCTGTGAACTCAGAGAGACAAGGTTAGGGAGTCTGTTCACACTGACCCTTCTCGGAAAAGTGATTTATACCCAGAATCGGTCACAGAATGTGGAAAAACCACAGCTCTGGTCTTCCCTCTGGGTGTGGCTCTGGCTGTCCCAAAAGGTGGTGGCGATTTTTTTCAATAAACCCAGCTCCATTTCCCTTACTTTTTTAATTTTTTAAAAAAAATATATTTCTATTGATTTCAGAGAGAAAGGGAGAGGGAGAGATAGAAACATCAGTGATGAGAGAGAATCACTGATCGGCCTCCTCCTGCTCGCCCCACACTGGAGATCGAGCCTGCAACCTGGACCTGTGCCCTGACCAGGAATCAAACCGTGACCTCCTGGTTCACAGGTCGACGCTCAACCACTGAGCCATGCTGGTGGGGCTGTTTTTGTGTTTTTGGTGTTGTTGTTTTTTTACAATAAACAAATCTTATGTAGCTCTTTAACAGTTGGTTGTAAAACTTAACCAGCCTTGATAGAATGTTGCACCTTCCAGCAGCCTTTGAATCATTGATTCAAATAATTTATGATTTTAAAAGTAGGTTTTTATATTTTTAAAGATCTCCAGAATATACTTATCACTTGGTAGTCTTCATGTATAAAAGTTGGATTATGGTTAGTTTGGCATCTTTGAGACTTTATGGTTTAGAAGTCTTTTAGTTACGGTTGAGGGTCTCTAGAATAACCTCAGTGTTCAATCATCTTCACAAATAAAAACATTCTTATCAGTTTGTTCATTTTCGTGAAGAAAAGCAGCAGGTCAGTATCCTAGTTTGGGTTAAAAATGAAAAAAATCATTTTTTTCTCCGGGTGTTTCTTTTATTTTCCTCGTAGGTGTGAGCGCCGTTTCGAAGGACACCCGACCCGCTGCTTCCCGTGTGGGATTGCCTTCAGCCCCTGCGGGCGCTTCGTGGCGTGTGGCGCGGAGGACAGACATGTACGTGCCGGTCTTAGTCCCAGGGGTGGACGTGCCTGTGGAGAGGGCGATGTGGGTGCGCAGCAGGGTGAAGCGGCTGACGCCGGAGGCTGTTGCGAGTGTAAGAGCAGTGGCGTGAGGTGCGAGAGGTCGTCCTGGTATTTTTCGTGAAGCAGGGAACTTGAAACACCGTTGCTCGTTCATTCCTTCCTCACTCAGTGACTTACTGTGTGTGACATGCTGTGTTTTCTTTGACCTTCCAGATAGTAACATCTATATATATAAAAGCCTCAGTGACCATTTGACTGGTAGCTATGACATGCACTGACCACCAGGTGGCAGACGCTCAACACACAGGCATGGAAACATGAAACAGACTGATGAATCTCAGAGGGAAGGGGGGAGGGGGGCGGGTGGGAAGAGATTAACCAAAGATCTTATATGCACACTAGAGGCCCGGTGCACAGATTCATGCACCAGTGGGGTCCCTCGGCCTGGCCTGTGGAAATCGGGCCGAAACGAGCAGTCCGACATCCCCCAAGGGGTCCTGGATTGCCAGAGGGCTCAGGCCAGGCCGAGGGACCCCACTGGTGCACAAATCTGTGCACCGGGCCTCTAGTTAATAAATAAAGTGACACATACCTTAGGATGGATTTGGAACAAATACTAATTTATGTCCGTTTGTCTTTAATGTATTTGGGAAGGTCTGTGTAGTGTCTTAGGGATGTGGTAACAAATTACCCCAAACTCAGCAGCTTCAAGCAACAGACCCTGGTCCCCGCAGCCTGGAGGCCCTGGGTCTCACTCAGGTGCTGGGAGGATCGGTCCCCCTCCACTCCCCCTCCCGGAGGCCCTAAGGAGGGTCTGGCCCACCTTGGCCTGGGCTTCTCTCCAGGCTCTGCCCATCCTCATCCTGCCCCCTCCTTGAGGGTCTCGAGTCTCGCTCTCCCCTCTCGTATGAGGACACCCCAGAGCCACAGGAGCTGTCCCTGCGGCACCTCCTCTCAGAGCACGGCCCTGTGCCCCGAGCAGACAGCCGGCCCCTAGCCCTGGCCTCCTGGCCTGTGGAATTGGGACAATAATACCGTTTTCTTCATCTGGCTGTAGAGAGGACTAGGTGAGGCAGTTATGTAGAAGTTGGTGCTCAATACATGTCTGCTGCTGCTACTAACCTCTGTGCTTTATAATCAGAAGCAACAGATGCAGCAGAGGGGTCAGTTCCCGTGTCTGTGTAACCTGGGCCCTGAGGAGCCTCCGGAAGTGAGGACGCTGTCATTGGGTCAAAACGAGAGATGACCCCCTTTGGCAGCCAGGGCCGTTTGGAAGCCCCTTGGGCTGGGTGGGGATCTGAGGGGCCCGGCCTCCCTGCGCTGGGGCCTGGGCTCCCCACCGCCGACCGTGCTGCTGGCGCCCCCTGCTGGCCACCGCTGAGCTGCTTGCTGGACACAGCGTCCATCCTTCTTCCCCGCACCCCTGGTTGGCGGTTCCTGTTGGCGCTGAATTGGCACCAGGCACCACCAGTTGAGAGGCTGGGATACAAAGCCTGACTCTGTCCTTAAAGTCACCTCAAACAGAGCCTGTCTTGAAAACGGCTCACAGTGGGGTCTTGGGCAAGGCTGCTGCGTGCGATAGAAACCCCCTCACCTTCGCCTCCTCGTTCGCTGGTGGCTGGCTCTCGCCACCGAACACCTGCGGCCTGTCTTCCAGGCGTACCTGTACGAAGTGGGCTCCAGCACCTTCTCCTGCCGGCTGCCGGGGCACACGGACACGGTCAGCGGGGTGGCCTTCAGCCCGTCCGCCCCTCAGGTACAGCCTCTCCCCACAGGTCTCCCCTCCTCTTCCGTGTCTGTCAGACTTGTTTTGGTGAGTTTCATGCTATTTAAGACCACGGGCCCGTTGTGATCACGTGCAGGCCGACAAGCCTGCGGAAGAAAACTCTCGGGGTCTCCTTTTGCGTGAGGGGCTCCGCACGCGGTGCTGCTGGACAGAGCGTGGCTGGACCGGGCAGCTCTGGGAGCCCCAAGCCAGTCGGTGGCACTGAGGTGGACACACGTGCAGGACCAGGGCGGGAAGGGGAGGAGGGGGACCCCAGCTCAAGGAACTGGCACGATTGGGAGAAAAGATTACGAGGAAATGACAGCGGCTGCAGGTCAGCCGAACAGAAGTGCATGGGCTTGTGTTAAAGGGCAGAGGGAGGTGTTTCAATAGAAGATGGAAAAATATGGAGCATCCAATCGAGAGTATTTGGGAATATTGGTTTCATTCTGCTCCTTACGTTTGAAGCTGTGACTCGGAGAACATCATCGTGCGTGTGCTGTGTGCACGCGGAACCGCGGGCGCTGCTCTGCGGGCTGCTCACTCGCTCAGGCGGGTCCTGTCCGTGCAGGGCAGGGGCAGTGTCTGCGCCACATTGGCCGTCCTCCTCTAGTAAATGTTGGAAAATGCATCAAGCTTGTCCTGCCGGGACCCCTTGCGGGGGTGGGGGGGCAGAGCTAACCTCCGAGGGGGCAGGAGGAGGGACGGAGAGAGGTGGGCCCTGGGCGCCCAAGAGCAGCAGAGGCCCAGCAGCCCCCGGCGTGCTGCCCTGCCCTCGGCTGCGAAGGTGGGACCCAGTCCTGCCCCGCAGGGCGCTCCTGCCCAGCTCTCCTGCGGCCTCGGGAGCAGGACTCGCCCCTGTGAACATCCCGCCAATCTCCCTCCACCTGGTAGGGAAGGTCCTTTAAATTCCTTCCAGTGCAGCCGACCTGTGATTGGAAAATAGGTGTTCTTTCCTCATGGTTTGGACTTTAAATCTTAAAATAAGGAACAAAAAACTCATTTTGATTAAACTCAGCCCTTAAAAATTATGTTGATGGGAAAGATTTTTGCTGCCACATCTACTGGACCAGTTTTCCCTGCCTTTCTACCTCTTGACTTTGGCCTTGAGTTCCACATTATTGAAATGTGCCCGGCATTCTCCGTGGAAACAGCTTGGAGAGCTCGCAGGCACCGGTGGGGCCGACGCCAGCTGGGAACAGGCCAGTCGTGTCTAATGTGGCGGCCGAGCACGAGAGGCGTCCAGGGTCCCTCTCCACCCCAAGTGTTTGCTCCTCTCAGACCCGTGTGTGCCCCTGGCTGCCCTCAGGGGGTGTGGCCACTGCCCTCGGGGACGTGGCTATCACTGTTGGCCTGTTCCTTCTGTGCTTAGTAGACGCGTGTCCTCTGTGTCCGAGTCCGTGGCTCCCGCGCTGGCTGCACTCTGGGAAGCTTGCTGAGCCAGTGCCCTGTGCTCTGGAGACCCCTGAAGTCCAAGTCTCTGTCCTGGCCGTGGGCGGCCGGGGTGGCTTCCTGCCGTAGCTTGGTCTTTGCTCGCGCCTCTGCTGCCTCTGTGCCCCCGGCCCTGTTTCTCTGCTGTCCCTCAGCCTTTGCCAAATGCTCCAACTCTGTCCTCCAGACCAAATGCCACCTGTTCCTGGTGTTTCCACCGGGAGGCCTGCAGCCCCTCCTGCTCAGTAATTGGAATCCAGGCCAGTCCCTCAGGCCTCCTCTGACCACGAGACCCGTGACCTGCGTGCTCAGTGCCGGGCCTGGGCCTGCGCGTAGCCCTGTCTTCTCTCCCCGCCTGCACCCACGGTGGCCAGTGCCCTCCCCTCCTCCCCTCCCCCCTGTGGTCCTCAGTCCGCTTCTGCCAGGCTGTGCGGCCCCTCCCTGTCTCCTCGTCCCAGGGGCCCTCGTCCCCCCTCCACCTGTTGAGTCCCAGTACGTGCCCACCCACCTCCCTTCTCCAGCGCCATCCTGTGGCGACAGCGGCTGGGAAACACGCTCGCACTTGCTGAGGACGGCCTCCTCGCCGTGGCACTCTGAGCAGCGTCTCTGGGTGAGGATCGCGGGGTCTGTGAGGCCCGGCTCCCCAGAGAGAGCCACACGGGGCACAGCCAGCTGAGGTGCAACACGGGGTGTCCTAGCCTGCGGGCTCCCACGACGGGGGCTGAGCCCGTGTCTCACTCAGACCCACGAGGCAGCAGGACAGGAGGGCGGCCTGGCCCTCTGACCCGTTTCTCGTGCCACCGACGCTGCATCTCCGACCGCGGGAGAGCTGTCTGGGCCCTCGTTCCTGGGCCTGACCCCAGAGCCCACAGCCTGGCTCGGCTCACGGGAGGGTGAGCTGATTGGCCAGCCCTTTCTATTGCACTTTTCTCTGTTTCTACACTCGCTGTGGGGGGAGAAGCCGGTGTCCGTTCCATCCCTACGTGGAAGGCCCGGGTTTCTAGAGGCCAGAGCTGCAGTCCAGGCTCATGAAATAACCGGCAGTTTGGACAGTGCTTCCTCGCAGACACTCACTGGCTGAGTGTGAGGCTGCGGGCGAGCCGTGCGGACTTGGGAAGGTGCCCACATGCCCAAACGCAGGTGCGCCCTGACCTCGGCTGGCGACTGTGGTTACGAGCTGCTTCAGGGATCCTGAGAGGGAGAAGGCCTCCTGTAGAGCCAGGTCTCCCTCATTGAACCAGAGCTCAGCACTCCTGTCTGCCGGCGGAGCCTCTCTGTTGTTGGCACAGGACGTTCTGAAGTCGGCCAGGGTGCTGGCTGCGCGGAGCTTGCTCTGGGAAGCCGTTGGCCGAGTGCGGTGGTTGGTCCTCATTCGTTTGAAGGAACCTGCCTCTGAGGGAAGGGTGTGGGCTCCATGGAGACGAGAGCTGGACCTGGGGGCGAGCGAGGAAGCTGCAGTCATCGCTCTCATTCGTCGGGAACACTCGGCGCAAATCTGCCTCAGACCGCACCCGACCTTGCCCTCGGCGCCTCCGTTGCCCGCTCCCCACTCACCAGAAGGCGGCGGCGGGGCAGGTCTGGGTGGCCTTGGGTCAGGCAGACAGCACACGGCCTGCCGTCACGCCGCACGTCAAACCCCAGCGCACTCGGCGTAAGCCGCGTTAGCACATCTGGGCGACGTTAGACGCCTCATTTCCCAGGGTAAGGTGAGCTCCTGGAAAATGTCTCACTGCCTTTAATTTTGCCGTTGGCTTCCATGATTTATGTCGGATTATAAAAGAAAGAGGGAAAGGGGTGTCTAATAGAGGAGTCCACTTCCCCTGTTGCTGCATTTAAGGATTTGAAACACTTCCTGGTGTTCCTGCCTCATTCTCTCACCTTTCATCGCCAGACCCCATAGAACCTACTGATGGGTGTTGGCGTCTTAAAGGGAGTTACTAAAGGGGAAGGAGGGTGCCGAGCCTGCCCTTGCTCCTCCCCCCACAGCTCACTGTGCTGCCCGCAAGGCCACACGGCGAAAACCTGTGCTGGACGGGCCACGGGTCACCTGGCTCCACCTGCAGCCCAAGCAAAGGAGCGGCTGCTCAGCACCCGGCGCTGGTTCTCCCGGAGCAACCCCCACGGGCGCCGGAGCCTCGGGGCCTCTCCTATGACTCAGTGTTTCACCCTTGAACCGTTCCCTGTTTTATTTCCTAGAGAAGTCGTCTCGTGAAATGACACTTTGAGTGGCTCACAGAATTCAAAGACATTCACAGACATAGTGCATACTTAAATGTTCTCATAGGTGAGTGGGAGATACAGATAATTTCACCTTTTCTCAGAGGAGAAGTGTGTATGCCCAGACGTTAGAATATCTGAACTTTTGAAGTAAGGAAGTGAGGAGTAAGCGCCAAAGCTGAGCCAGGAGGAAGGGAAGACTCGGATGTCTAGACTCCGGAACGGAAGGGGACACGGCTGCCAACCCACCAGGAAACTAGGGAGCGCGGATGGCGGGGAAGAGTCCTGGGAAGAAAGAAGCAACCCTGTAGGCTGCTGGGTGTAGAAAGAAAGACAGGGATTCTTTTTAGTTGAAATTCTCTAAGTATGGCCTGTAAAGCTGTTCTAGAGGTAAGTAAAAAGATTTCCTTCAAATAAAGAACTGTAATTAAAAAGTAATTTAAAAAAAAGAGTCCTGGAAAGACACAGGTGTGGAAAGTGACTCAAGAATGAACAGAAGATTCAATAGTTGTATAAAAGTAAAGAGATTAAATTGTAATAAATAACAATAACAAATGTTCACGAAGAAAATCCCAGGATAAGGTGACCTCATGGCGACTCCTACCAGACATTTAAGGGAGAACCGATCTCGCGTCACAAACTCCTCCTCGGTCCCTGAGGTCGGTATTACACGGATTAACAAATCAGCGGGAAATTAGACACATATCTCCTAAAAATATCCTCAACAAATTACAGCAAATCAAATCCAGCAATATCCAAAAGGGTTCTATGCCGTCACCAAATGAGACTCATCCCAGGAACGGAAGCTTGGTTTAACCAACAGAAATTAATGTATGTCACATCAGTTAGTCATTAGACAAAAGTTAGCGCCCATTTAGGGAAGACTCAGTAAGAGCAGTGATAGGACTTGCTCAGCCGATACCGTCATCCTGGCCCTCTCCCCGCTGGTGCTCTTCACATGGGCAGTCGACACGTCCCCCCGACGAGGAAACAGATAAGCCGTCCACACCCCGCCTTCTCACGACTGCGCCGGCGGTTCTCCTCCAGATCCACATGTGCACGTCACGCTCACCTGGAGACCCACGGCCAGTTGGTGACTCCTGGTTGCGTGTGGGGTTGTCAGCCCCCTCAGGTGTCGGGTAACAACAAGTGCTGGTCATTGCCATGAGAGCAGAGTTCCTTTCTGTAGCCATTGCGTGTGGCCCCGTTGTGGTGGGCGAGATGTGGACCTCAGCATTGCGTGTGGCCCCGTCGTGGTGGGCCGGACGTGGACCTCAGCATTGTGTGTTGATCTCAGCATTGCGTGTGGCCCCGTCGTGGTGGGCCGGACGTGGACCTCAGCATTGTGTGTTGATCTCAGCATTGCGTGTGGCCCCGTCATGGTGGGCCGGACGTGGACCTCAGCATTGCGTGTGGCCCCGTCGACATTCTCTCCTCCCCTCCCCACCCAGTTCCTCTCGTCCTTCAGACGCTGCCCCCCACGTCTGGGCCCCGCCTTCCTCCCAGGAGTCTTCTGCTCCACCCAAGGCCCTTCCGCAGCTGCTTGGTTCACGGAGCCGGGTCCGCTCCGCGCGTTCACCTCGGCGAGGTCAGTGGTGCAGTCCAGCGCTCTGTCTGCACACGCCATCCGCATATGCCCGTCGCACACGCCAATCGCACACGCTGCTCACACGTGCCACCCGCGCACGCCATCCTAGCATGCCACTTGCACACGCCACCCAGGCCCCGACCTGGGTGTCGAGTTGGCGTCATAGTCAGGTGTCCCCGGTGACAGCCCAGGTCGCTCCCTGTCCAGGTGTCCCTCGGTCCCAAGCAGCTGGCACTTCTCACGTGGCCTGTCCTGGGGCCGGGGTGGCGACGTTGCTGGGAGTCAGGCTGACTTCTCATCTCAGCTGACATGGTGTTGGGAGGCCCAGGACGGCAGGTGTGGTGCACGGAGGAGGTGTTGGTGGCTCAGGGACAGGCGGGACCGGTGGGAAGGAGGGAGGGGCCCTGTTCTCTGTGGCCGCTCGGCCGTGGCTGTCCTCCTGGTCGAGCGGCCACGGGGTTTCCACGGCAGCACGCGGGCCCGTGGGTGGGGCAGGTCGCCTGGGTTGCCAGTGACACATTTGCAACCGTTTGTGCTGCAGCGTTTGAGCCGAGGCCACGGAAGATGGTTCCTATTATACTCGGTGGCGTTGACTGAGGTCTGGCCGGGTCTGTTCTGATGCCCTGGCCCAGCCCCCGGCGGCTGCGTGGCCCGGCCCCAGCTGGCTGCGGTCACGGCACAGGAATGTGGCCGCTGGCGGTAACTCCAGCTCGGCTCCGTTTCTCTGTAAGTGATTTATAAGCCCAACTTGAAAAATTGTTGCTGAAATAGGTTGCAGCATTTTAGTTCTCAGCACACAGGGTTCCTCTCACATGCATTTCCTATTGTAGCTGTTGCCCAAGGCCAGGAGGGCGGCGGATCACACACCAGCAGCTGGTCTTCTGTTCCAGGGCAGGAGTCAGGGAACAGCTATGTGACACCAAGGAGGAGGCACAGGAACAAGTCGTCCCATGAAAGCCACACAGACGCGGCTGTGCCTGTGGCACCCGATGGGCGCAGCAGCGGTGACTCATCCAGGGAGCCGGCCAGCGCTCGCTTCTCCTTCAGGCACCCAGAGCTGGAGCCAAGGAGAAGGCGGGTCCCTGTCTGACGGAGCAGTATGGTTCCACCACGATTCGGCGCAGCCTCTGCGGCATCGGTGGGGAGTTCCGGGGGCACACACGCAGGAACGTGTTGGTGGGGTCCTCCTAGCTTCACAAGTGATGCTGTTTCAGGTGTGTTCCCCCTTCTTAAAGGGTGAGAGAGCCGTTGTGGAAAGTAGAGAACACACACGAGCAGACCAAGCGAGCGCACGAACGGGACACAGCCGTTCGTTCCTGGTCCCTCGCTTCTGGCACAGAGGTCGCCGAAGGCTTTCCCGAATGTGTGTACAGACACACACACGTGCGTGTAGTGGTTTCAGCCTAACTCTCCACCTGATGGGACTTGGGATCCGGCACCAGCATTTATCGAACTCACACTTCAGGGCTCCTGGTTGTTTGGCCAGGGCCGAGCTGTGGGATGGGCACCCCGTGCACACACTGCTCCTGTGGCTCTCTCCCCAGAACACGTTTAGACCTGTAATTGCCGAGTCAACGTCCTCACTCTGAACAGCTTTTGGTAAATGTTGCCAAGTTTCTCTAACAAGTTTGGGTCAACTTATTTACCTCCGAATAGAGTATGAGGGGATGTGTCTGCAGCAACAGGAACAACTGCTATTTACAAATACTTGTTGCGCAGAGCACAGGCCCGGGCCGGCTGGAAGGCCAGAACGGAGCCGCCGTCTCAGTTCTTCCGGGCGAACCGCCTCCTTCCTCCTCCAGCACACGGGGCGGGGGGCCGGGGAGGGGGGGGCCTCCAGGCGGAGCACAGGTCTCAGGCCGAGAGCGAGAACGGAACTCTGCTTGGTCTCTCGGGCATTTGTATTTCACTTCTTGTGAATTATTTATTCACCCTGTTTTTAAATGGAAACACCTTTTTATTAGGTATCAGCTCCTTTCCGTAACTTAGCGATAACCTTTGTGTTTGTGATATTTTGAAAAAAACCTATGATCTGGTTTTTTTTATTAGATTTAGGAGAACTTCCCCTAAGAGGATATGTTCATTGATATTTTCCTAATGTCTCGCATGGACGTAATCTGTTCTTATATATTTTAAATTTTATTTAAAATGTCACCTTTGTGCCTGTGCCTGTGTGTGCGCCCTGTGCCTCCGGATGTGCAGTGCCCAGCCCTCCGTGAGAGGGTCTCGGCTGCTGCTTCACACGGCTGGCCACTCCCTCAGAGCCCACCTGCTTTTATTATGTGGCTTTACAATAGTTCTCCTCAACAGCCCCCTTTTAATAAAGTTTTACTTAGTTATTCTTCCAAAAAGAATGACATTGTGCAGCATTTCAAGTCTCTCTAGGAGCAGGGAGAAGCCCCCTGAACCCCACCACCAGCTCCCCTCGCCCTCGCCTCTGCGTCGAGCCCTCCCCTCAGTGAGAACCCCCTGAACCCCACCATCAGCCCCCTCGCCTCCGCGTCCAGCCCTCCCCTCAGGGAGAAGCCCCCTGAACCCCACCATCAGCCCCCTTGCCCTCGCCTCCACGTCCAGCCTGCACCCCGGGTCACTGCACCAGTCCAGCTGCGGTTCCATCTGTAAGGGTCTCAGAAGGCATTTCATTACGTGGTTTGTTGAGACACAGCTCACATGGCACAGAATCCACCCCCTTAACTGTGCGGTGCGGTTGGTCTGACCATGTTTAACTTTGTGCAGCCGTCAGCACTGCCCATGCCAGGACGTGTGGCCCCACAGAACCCACACCTGGTGGAGGCAGCCCCCACAGCCCCGACCCGCCCGCACGGATCTGCATCTGGGGGACCCGCCTTTCTGGATGTTTCCCGTCCGAGGACCTCCCGGCAGGTGCCCTTTGTGCCGGCGCCTGTCACTCAGGCTGAAACACCTCGTGGTTCGGTAGCCCTCCCTCTGCTCCTCCCGCTGGAGATGGTTTCTGGGGTGGTTTCCGCTGTTGGCAACACTGAATGGTGCTGCTGTAAAGATCCACGTACACGTTTCTGCCTGCACATGGCATCAGCTCTGTGCACATTCCAGGAGTGGGTTTCTGGGTCCTGTGGCCGCTGTATTTTTGACTGTTGAAGAACTGCCAGACTTGGTATGTGGCTCCATTGGTTTAAATTCCACATGTGGCTACAAGGTCCCAAGAGCCCCACATCGTTGCCAGCACTTGTTATTGTCTGTCTCATTGTAGCCATTCGGGGGCGTAAAGTGGTAGCATTCCCCTCGAGATGAAGGAGATGAATGGCATTGAACACGTTATGGCTTTGATGGTCCACGTCTTCTTTGGAGAAATCCTATTCCAGTTCTTTGGGGCCACAAGCAGGCGCCCCATCCGCGTGTTGAAGGGGGTGTTCTCCTCCATGGAGTGGCCCTGACCGTTTGGTGTGACCGTTACATGTTCGTTGCTGGGTGTCAGTTCTGTTCCAGGCTCGCACGTCCGTCGGCCCTGTCGTGGTGACCGCAGCGTTGAAGTAAGTGCTGAAGCCGGAAGGGGCTTCCCAGCCGGTGGTTGGCTCTTCAGGGCCCCTGGCATTTCCATCTGAGTTTGAGGAGCAGATTGTGTGTTTGTGTCTAAAAAAGAAGTTGGGGCTTTGATAGGGGTTGCATTGCATCTCGAATTCAATGTGGAAAGTAATGATTGCTCATGATACTCTCTTCTATTCCATGAAATGGGATGTTTTCATACTTACTTAGTTTTTCCTTTTTGCAAAAAGAAGAATTAGACCTTTAATAACTTATTAGAATTATTGTTTATAGCATATGTAATAAATAAACATCTTTCAGAATATCATAAAAATATAGGAAGTGAAATGGGGTATTTATAAACAAAGATAGGAATATTTAAGCAAGAACCACATACTTCTCAAAGTGGAAAAAGTCATAAAAATCTGTACTAGTTTCCTAGGCTTCCATAACAAAGGACCCAAAACTAAGTGACATAAAATAACAGAAACATATCATCTCGAAGTTCTGGGGCTAGAATTCCAGACTGAGGGGCCGTGAGCAGGTGGCCTTCCTGAGGCGGAGGGGGTTCTGTCCCGCTCCCCCCGGCGGCCGAGCGGCTGCCGGTCTCGGCGTTGCTTGGCGATGGCAGACTTCCTTGTCGTGTTTCAGCTCTGAGCGACAGTGTTCGGCCTTTCATCATTAACCTGATCTTCTTTCATCACGTGGTGAGAGCCGTGTCCCCTGCCCGTGAACACGGATGACGGAAGGTTCTGTAGGGTTTCCAAGGCCAAGCCAGGGGAGCCCAGGCAGCTTCTGCTTTGTTTGCTAGAATGTTCCCTCTCGGGCCCCGAGCCTCCGTGAGAAGCCCCTCTGTGCTGAGGGCCTGCGGAGAGGCTGTGCAGCCTCCCACCCCCAGGCGCCCCTGAGCAGGCGGCTGCGCCCGTCGGGGACCCTCACAGTGCAGCCGGGAGCTGCAGAGTCCCCACCTGGAGCCCAGCACCTCCCCTAAATCACGAAATGCAAGAAAATGGTTATTGCGATGCAACAATAAGTAGCCGAAACACCTTTTATATTGTTTCACATGTTCTTGACTTTATGGAGGTGTATTTTCTTAGTCAAGCTCCTTTGCCGTGAGAGTTGGTGGTGGCTTTGCCGTCTGTGGCTTCACCGTTACGTAGTTTTCCACGTTCACACTCCCGTCTCTTCACCTACTTTGTGTTCGGACGTAGAGACGCCGTTGGGCGGACCAGCCAGGCAGGTTCCCGCTCCTTCCTCTAAGACAGTGGTTCTCAACCTGGGCTGCACATTAGAGTCACCTGGGAATCTTTTTAAAATCCTGATTTCTGGGCCTCATCCTCCCAGGTGATTCTAATGTGCAGCCAAGGTTGAGAACCACTGCTCTAAGATCAGACGTGAGCCAAGCCACTGTCTCTGGCATCCAAGGAGGCAAATCCACTGCTGTTCCTGGAACCCGGAGTGGAGATGCTCTGCTTGCACCCTTTAAACGGCTCACCTCTCGTCGTCGGGACCTGCCGTGGGCTGGAGAGCGCGTGGGTGCGCTGGGCTCGCTGTCACTCACACTCCTCCGCGGCCCCACCCTCACTTCCTCTGGAGTAAAGTGCCGAATGGAAAAGGAGCTGAAATTCTTTTCTGGCCCCATGTGTCTACTCCTATTGTGTAGACTTATTAGATTTTAAAATTTGATCTTTTGTTGTCTAGGATTCAAATTACTCCCCCTCCCCCCTTCCCTCTGAGGTTCCGCACTCTGTTCCATGCTTCCGTGTCTCTGCAGCCACTATGTTCATCAGTTTATTTTGTCACTTGGATTCCACATATGAGTGAGATCATGTGATACTTGTCTTTCTCTGACCGGCTTATTTCGCTTAGCACAATCCTCTCCAGGCCCCTCCATGCTGTCTCAGAGGGTAAGAGGTCCTTCTTCACTGCTGCGTAGTATCCCATGGTGTAGATGTACAACAGCTTTTTACCCACTCACCTGATGGGCACGTGGGCTGTGTCCAGATCTTAGCTATTGTAACTTGTGCTGCTGTGAACACAGGGGTGCACACATTCTTCCTGAGTGGTGCTTCCGGTTTCTTAGGATAGATTCCTAGAAGTGGGATCCCTGGGTCAGAAGGAAGTTCCATTTTTAATTTTTTGAGGAAACTCCACAGTTCTCCACAGTGGCTGCCCCCGTCTGCATTCGCACCAGCGTGCACGAGGGCTCCTTCTCTCTGCATCCTCACCAGCACTTGCTGTTGCTTTATTGACGGCAGCCGTTCTGACAGCTGTGAGGTGTGTTACTAACATCTGAAACCAGCATTTACTAGGAGGCCTTTCTTTTACTGGCTCAGGAACTCAGCTTGCTACACCAGGGACGTCACTAAGAATAGGTTGTTTGGCCTTTAATTTTGTGGCTTTTGGCTGAGACCTTATGTTCACTGGGTCGGTACGGGTTTAAAACGATGAGGGAAGGATGTCTAAGGATGAGTGTCACTGAGAATCGGTCTTTCCCTCCGTGTGGCTGTGGGGATGCTGGGCAGGCCCAGGACATCACCGCGGAAACAAACGTGAGCAGCCACGTGTGCGAGACGTCCCCGCGGCATGAAGCGAACGCTCATCTTCCTTCCAACAAAAGGAGCGTGAAGCAAGCAGCAGCCGCGCGAGACGTGGGGAGGCCCCTGGGAGCCTAGAAGGAACGCTGTTCCTGGAGTTGTTTACAGCGGGGGAGGCCGCCATCTGTCCTGGGCCGGAGGGTGGTCCCCGGCGGAGCGTCTGTCCTCCCGGCACCGGCGCTGCCCACCCCTGACGGAGCCGGTGCTTTTCGTCAAGTTGCCGACAGCTGGTCACGGGGCGTTGGCTGTCCTAGGTGCGTGCAGCCCACCAGGGCCGCCGCTGTGTGCCGGAGCGGGGGGCATCGTGATGCTGAGCAAGCTGCCCCTCAGAGCCAGACTCCGGACTCGGGGTGCACGGCACCTTTGTCCTCCAGGGTGTGGATGGATGCAGCGGGGGTGCCGGAGGGGACCCCAGGACAGCGGGGACGGCGGGGTGTCAGCCCGAGTCCCACACGCCCACCTGCCAAGTGGTGGGAGCCTCCCTGCCTCCCCCCCTCTCCCCCCCAGTGGCGAGCACAGCCCACGTCGCCTCCTGCCACGGAGTTTCTCTCTGTGGGTGTGGGTGCGCCCTGGGCGGTCCTGCACGTGGACATCCCGGGTGGGGGAGCATGCCTGGGTCCCTGCTGGGTCCCCGCTGGGCGCTGAGTCACCGCCCATCCAGCGGCAGAAGCCGGGACGAGGTTCCTGGAACCGCCGCTGGGAGAAGCCAGAGGCGACCACAAAGCGTTTCCACATGTGGGATCGGCAGCGCAGCCGAGTGGAATGTTTACCCTGGATCCGGCCAGGAGGAGGATGGGATTGGGCTGGCAGTCCCGGGCGCTCAGCGGGGCTGCTCCCTGACCATCTGGGGAGCAGAGCTGCTCGGCCGGAAGCTCCGAGGCTGAGCGCAGGCAGGCCGGCTCTCACTCTGATCCGATGGGGAATGGCCTGAACCCCGAGCAGCGCGGGTCGGCCTCCCACCGTTTCTCCCCTGAAGCCGGCAAGCAGGGCAGCGGTGCCCCCGGGCCAGGCAC